CACGAACTCATGCATGCACAGTTACATATACACTCATGTTCACACACATGAACTCATGTACACACTCACACACAGACACACATGAACTCATGTACGACCTGGTGGCCAGGGTGGAAACCGCCCCTGTGGTTTTCTGAGATTCAGTCTTCACAGGAGTAGAACGCCCGGAGCCTCGTGGTTTCAAACTGCTGACCTTGAGGTTAGCCACCCAACACGGTAGCCGTGTTCTCGAAGCTGGTGATGCCGCCGTACTTGCGCATGTGCACCATCAGTGGCTTGGGCGACTGGCTCCCGGCTAGCGTGGCCACGTACATGCCGGTCCTGTTCTCCTCCAGGGAAGGGCCCCAGTCCATGGCTGGCCGGCTGGCCTGCTGGAGCCGCTGCGGGCAGGGAGGGTCAGCAGTGAGGTCAGCGGCACACAGGAGCGCTTACGGTGGCCAGGCCCATGCCAGACCTGATTGCCTACCTCCTGAATCCTTGCAGGAAGCCAGGGGTGGCACTGTTCCTGCCCCGGGGCCTGCCCTCGGGCGTGGTCCATCTGTGGCCCTTGGGCAGGACACCAGTTCTCTGAGCTCTGGTTCTGCTGCCCTGTCTCTAACGCCAGCTCACAATCAGCCCCCTCACAGGCTGTGTGCGAGGCCTGAGGGGTGGGGGCTGTGACGAAGGCCTTGACCTTGGTAACCTTCTGAAATGCCATGGCCTGGAAAACCCTGTGGAAGGTCCAGCTAGGGTCCAAATCGACTCAGCAGGGCCACTCAGGACACCAGGCCAGGGCTGCAGTAAGGAGGTCAGAGTCACTGTGAGCTGTCCCCAAGCCTCTCCCTGAACTGTGACCACCCGAGCGAGCGAGGATTGGGCAGCTGTGGCTGTCCCTCTGTGGGATGTAGACCACTAGCCCTGCTTCCTGGTGCCTCTTCCTCTAGAGGTCCGCAGCTGCCTGGCTCAGCATCACAGTTACCCACCAGCCTCCACCGACAGCCAAGGCAGCTGTCCACGAGGTGCCCAGGCCAGGAATTAAACGCATCTCCTATGCGGGAGGCAAAAGCTCTACCACACCCTCTCAGAACAGGGTGCAACCAGAGATCAAGAGGACCGACACCAGGCCCTGCCATCAAGTCTGTGCTGACTGAGGGCAACGCTACAGGACAGGGCAGAACTGCATGCTGGGATTTCTGAGACGGCACGTGTTTAAGGGAGCAGAGAGCCTCTTGTAGCTCCCTCTGAGCAGCTTCTTGGTTCAAACTGCTGACCTTGTGGTTAGCAGCCCGCCAACTGATCGATGGTGGGGTTTGTTATGAGGTGTGGTGGGTTCCTCTGCTGAGCATCAGAAGGTCAATCACGTGACTCGCTCTGGACACCTTCCTGTCAATGAGTGCTAAGGGCTGGGGCCTGTTGGGAAAGAGCTGAGATGGGGACTGCAGCTGGCCTCCCAGGTCCCTTCCAGTCCTGGCATTCTGTCACGTTCGGACGCCGATGTCCCTGCTTCAAGGCCCAGTTTCCATGAAAAGAGGAGCTGACTAAGAGAATGACTAACCATGGACATTCTGGGATTTCCTCTTTCTCAAACCTCAAGCCACACTCCCAAAGCCCTGTCAGGGAGGAGAGTGCTGGGACCCTTGGGGAGAGGGCGGCAGCTGGCATGAAGTGGGGCCCCCTGCAGGTGGGTTTCCAGGGAAGTTCATGAGTCGTGCCCTCAGCCAGGGGCCAGCACAGCTTGTGCCAGAAGCAGGGTGGCACTTAGGAAAGCAACAGCATGCTGATCCATTGCCCTGGAACCTGCCAGGGCCTTCCCACCCCACTCGGAATAACACCCAGAGTGCTCACATGGCCTGGCTCCCGGACCATGGCCTCCACTTCTCTCTCCTGGCACGCTGCTCAGTCACACGGCCTCCCTGCTGGCCCCCAGCTGCTTCTCGTGCCACACTGCCCCTGGATGTCCACAGGGACCATTCTGCCCATGGATTCAGACAGGCCTTCCCTCCGCCTCTCTCTGCCTCTCCCTCTCCGGCTCCCTCTCTCTCTCTCCCGGCTTTGTTTATTGCCTGCCTGTCTCCTACGTGAACACACAAGCTCCGTGGGAACAAGGACGTGGCTTGTTCCAACGGAGAGGAGTACACGTGCTCCCTAGACCACAGCGCCTCAGCCTGGGCCCTGCTCTCATTTGGGGCCAGGTCATTCTCTATGGTCAGGGCTGTTCTGTGCATTAAAGTGTGTTCGTTTAGCAGCACCCTGGTGTCTGCCCAACGGGAGACAGCTTACCCTGCCCTCCCCATGACAACTAAAAGTGCCTTTCACCAAAAAAAAAAAAAAAAAAAAAGCGAGCAGTAAATGACCCTGTCCCTGCATCAGGCTCACTGCCATGGCACAGCGACCCTACAATAGGGCGGAGTAGAACTGCCCCCTGGGTTTCCCAGACTGCTTCTTTCCAGGAAAAGAATGCCCGTCTTTCTCCCCTGGAGCCGGGGGTCCCACACTGCTGACCCTGCAGATGGCGGCCCAAAAGGTCACCCGACACCCCCGGAGATGGCGCTAGAGGATGCCAGGCGTCCTCTTGGCCAAGAAGGGCTGCCCCTCACCATGTTCCGCATGGAGCCAAGCGCTGGCTTACTAATCTTGACCTGACCCTAGGAGCCCAGGGGCAGTCAGAGCTGAACCTGGTCCATCGGGTTTTCAAGGGCCGACTTTGCAGAAGTGGACCACCAGGCCCTCTGGGTGAGCCTGCACCTGCACCCTTCTGGTTAGCAGCCGAGGAGCGTGTTACATCGAGCATTTGCATCCCAGGGGACATGCGTCATCCAGGTCCCTAAGGGGGAGGTATTATCATCTGACTTTAACCCTCCCCCTCCACAGATGCTGTCTGAAAGCAGGGCTCAGAGCGGTCAGTTACGTTGGCCAAGGCCACACGGTGGGAAGTGGTGCCTTGCCCTCGTCTGTGAAAAGACTCCGCTCTCCTGCCTTCGCCAGGCCGAGCACACTGCTGTGCTCGCTTCCTTCTCCCAGCGGCTTGTGGGTAGGCATCCCTCTGTTTTAAGAACAGAGAGGCGAGGCTCAGATTGGTGCGGTTACTTGGTTACTTGGCTAGGTCACCCCACAGCACACACTATAACCGGGATCCAGCGTGTGGGGAATCGGGCTCGTGCTGCCAGCCCTCACCTGCACCCCAGCAACCGGCCCCAGAACCCCTCCTCCTTCACCCATAGACACCTGGCCTCCCAAGCAAGGAGACAAGGCCACCTTTGGTAACACAGGTGGGGCTTCTGAGGCTCAAAGAAACGTTTACCCCAACTCAGACAGCACTTGCTGGCAGGGCCATGAAGGCATGCTGGCAGGGTGTGGCCCAGGCGTGGGCACAATCATTTCTGCCAGGGTGGGGAGAGCTTCTCCGTGGGAACGTGAGGGTGGGGAGAGGGAGACCCAAATGGTGGGCAGTGTGCCAACTGGGGGGTCTGACTTGTACTTGCTCATTCCGTGTTCCCACTGTCATCGATTTCGATCCCGACCTGGTGGCCAGGGTGGAAACCGCCCCTGTGGGTTTCTGAGATTCAGTCTTCACAGGAGTAGAACGCCCGGAGCCTCGTGGTTTCAAACTGCTGACCTTGAGGTTAGCCACCCAACACGGTAACCACTGTGAGTTGGACCGACTCGGCCAAAAGCGTTTGGTTTGGGTGGTCAATCTCATGCTCTCGGCGGAGTGACCACCACGCACAATGTTCCGGAGTAATGCTCAGTTCTGTCTCTTGACCTCGGTTCTCCGGCACTGCCTGCCATGGCAGCCCTGTGCCGCCAGAGGGCTCCACAGCCAAGGCTGCAGCCCAATGCTCCTTACAGAAGGCTCGGCTCGCCCCACCTTTGAGGGCCACCGAGGGGATCCTGCGAGGGTCACAGGTATCCGCAGGCCCACAGGACACTCCTCCTCTCTCCCGGGGCCTGAAGAGCCCCGTGACAGACAGCTTGCACTCTGCCTTTGCTGGGGCTGTCCGCAAAGCTCTGGCCACGGGCAGGGCTCACACGGTCATTCTATCCCAGACCACTGAGGAAGAGGGGAACAACCCATTTTCTGGAGTTCCTCTGTGTAGAGTCCCCAAGGGAACTCTGGGCTAGTGATCTGTGGGGTTGTGTCCTTGCAGGGTATGTGGGGACTGGCCAAGGTGGGTGGTAGCTGCACTGTGTCCTCTTTTAGAGGCTGTGTGTGGGGTTGGGGTGGGGGGTGTACAGGGCAGGACTCCAGCCCTTAAGCCTGCCTCCACCCAGGCATGCCCAGGCCAGCGAGAGTGCAGGCTACTGTTAGGAAAAATGGCTAGCGATGTGCCCAGGCCGGGGGTACAGTGCTGGTACACGTTCTGTGTCCCTTGGAGTGGGCCCAGGGCAGGGCCCAGGCTGGGACACTGGGGCCCACTCACCTCCCAGAGCGAGCCTTCCTCTCGGAGCACAGCCACCAGCATGCCGGCCGGGATCATCAGGCAGGACAGCAGGCCCATCAGGATGCCCAGCAGCTCCGCCCAGGCTGGAAAGCGGTAGCTGCCGTACTCCGAGGGCTGGTACTTGACGATGCTGTACACCAGCAGGGCCTGCAGGGGGTGCTCCGAGCATCACAGTGGGCCCCAGGGCTGGGGACAGCCCAGGTCTGAACTAACTTAAAGCCAGAGACAGCCCAGGGGCCAGGGCCCAAGAGGCCAGGCAGCTGGGGCCCTGGGCCTGAAGAGGTCCAGTCCTCAGTTGCATCAGAACCTGAGGGGTCCAGGCCTTGTCAGCCCGGCTCTGAACACCCAGGTTCCTGAGAGGACCTATCGCTGAGGCCTGGGCAAGCCCGGCTTAAACCCAGCACAGCTATGAAAACTGGGGGGCACCGGGGGAGGGGAGTAGACAGGATCCTGGGGCCCTCCCAGCCCTCAGCCCCAACAGAGGTGCACCAGAATGCCCAGAGGGGACCCCTGCTCTCAGCCCTGGGGCCCCAAACCATAGTGCCCGTGCCCCCCTCCTCCCCCCTCACCCTCCCACCCCACCAGCAGTTACCAGGAGTGTGGCTGGGGATAGGAGCAGCCAGCAGGCCCGGAAATAGAGCCCGGGCTTGAAGCCCAGCATCATGTGGATGTCACGGCAGAACCTCTGGACACCTGCAGGTGGAGGGGAGGAGGAGTGGCCCTGCCAAAGGCCAGCAGCCCCTCCCTCAGCAGTCCCCCACTGTCAACCTCCGCGGGCCCCAGGGCCCAGAGGGGCTGCAGGGGCACCTCCCACGCCCGCCCTCCTCACCATACACGCGGGTGACAGCAAGGCACGTGGTTATCACCACCACCATCAGCCCGAAGCTGGCGCTGTAGTCATCCAGAAGCACCAGCCAGTACATGCCCCCCTGAAACACAAGCCACAGTCTGGGGGGTCCCCCCGCGCTGGCCTCCCTTTGGCTGCAGGCCCCCTCTCCCAGCAGGAAGTGGGCAGGCCGGCAGCCAGGGCCAAGGGGAGAGCTGGAGGCTGCTGGGCCCACCACGTGCCCCCACTGGCTCCATTTTCACATACCCCTCACACAGGGGAACCAGTTCAGCGATGCTAGCCTCTTGTCCCAAGTTTTCTCCCCAAGGGCAGGAGCAAGCCTCCCCCGAGTCTTTCAGGCCCTTAACCACAAGGCCAAGCTGGCCTGCCTTCTGCCCCCGAGGAGGTGAGGCCTGGAGAGGAGGGTCCCCCAAAGGGAAGGAGGGGACAGCTCCGTGTTTGCTCTGCTGGCTGCCGCCCAGCACCACTCACTTCGGTGGTGAGGATCAGCCCCATCAGGTACATGGCCACACACAGGAGCCCGGAGAACACAGCCTTCTTGGGCCGCAGGTAGTAAGGGAACTCATCCGTCACCGCCGTCACGATGGTCTCCATAAAGGCAAACTGGGGTGCGAGGGGATGGCGGGCGCGTGTCAGAGTCTGTCCCCATCGCGCACGTGCACACACACACACACACACACACACACACACACACACGAACTCATGTATGCACACAGAGATACACATGAACTCATGTATGCACACAGAGATACACATGAACTCATGTATGCACACAGAGATACACATGAACTCATGTGCACACATGCTCACACACAGACACATGAACGCATGTATACAGAGAGACACACATGAACGCATGCACACACACATGAATGCATGTACACACACTCACACACGTGAACTTATGTACACCCAGAGACACACGTGAACTCATGCACAGTCACACAGACTCACATGAATTCATACGCACACAGTCACACATACACTTACACTCACGCACGTGAACACATGTACACACAGAGGAGACACAGGAACTCATGTACACACTCACACAGAGACACAGGAACTCATTCACATACACACACGAACTCATGCATGCACAGTTACATATACACTCATGTTCACACACATGAACTCATGTACACACTCACACACAGACACACATGAACTCATGTACACACTCACATAGACACACATGAACTCAGGCACACACGCTCACAGACATGACCACATGTACGCATACAGAGAGACACTGGAATTCATGCACATACACACGTGAACTCATGTACAGCCACACATGAACTCATGTACACACATGCTCACATACATGAACGCATGTACGCATACAGAGAGACACGGGAATTCATGCACATACACACGTGAACTCATGTACAGCCACACATGAACTCATATACACACATGCTCACATACATGAACGCATGTACGCATACAGAGAGACACGGGAACTCATGCACATACATACTCACATACACTTACACGCACACTCATACACATGAATGCATGCACACACTTACTCCCACACACAGGTACACACATGAACTGGTGCACACGCTCACATACATACACATGCACACACGCACTCACGCACACCAGGACGAGGCGCACCTGGCTGTCCAAGCCCAGCGTCAGAAGCATGAAGAAGAACAGGAAGGACCAGAAGGGTGACAGCGGCAGCATGGTCATGGCCTGCGGGTAGACAACAAAGGCCAGGCCGGGGCCTGGGGCCAAGGACACAAGGGGTCAGCAGCCTGGGCAGGTGGCGGGCTCCCACCCTACCACACGCACAGCCACACCCACTCGGCCACACTCGCTTAACCAGCCCCGAGAGGGACACTCAATGCACACTGGGGCCACAGGCCAGAACAGGCCGGACGCACTGGGACAAACAAGGCAGGAAACAGGACAATCTCACACACCAGCAGGGGAGGGGGGCTCCTCCCACAGGTGGATGTCCACCATGTGCACGTGACCAGAGACCAGCTAGGACACACTGCATTATATTTTTACGTGTGTGTGTGCATCTGTGAACACACACACACACACACACACACACACACACACACACACCCATGGCAGCCTCATCACAACTTTGTGGGTACACACATAGGCTAGTTCCCACCACCACTGCCCGCCTCCCCCGACCCGGGCCTGTCAGCCTGCCCACCTGCTTTGGCTACTTGGTCCACAGGCACGCCCAGCTCCTGAGACATGTAGCCCAGCACAGAGAAGATGGCAAAGCCAGCCAGGATGCTGGTGATGGCATTGCCCAGCGTCACGATGAAGGTGTCTCTGCCCACAGAAGTCCAGGGTCGGGTCAGTGGGCTGGCCCTGCCGGTCCCTCGCCCTCCTCAGCCGCTGCCCTTGCCCTGTCGCACCGGGAGGGGCCGAGGGCACTCACCTGTAGATGTTTTGGTGAAAGGTGTTGTAGGAGGCGAAGGTGAGGAGGCCCCCGAAGCCCACACCTAGCGAGTAGAAGATCTGCAGGGCAGCCTCGATCCACACCTGTGCCGAGGAAGGACGGAGAGTGGCCATGTCCCCAGGCCCACGGAAAGGGCAGGAGGTTGGGGTAGGGGGAACAGCGGGCAGATGGGCAGATGCCCCCCCTGCCCCCCGACACTGCAGGACCTGGGCAAGGACCTTTCCCTCCCTGCGCCTCAGTTTCCTCGTCCAACGTACAGAGAACAGTCCCTCGCTTGGCCCAGTTCTGAGGGATTTTACGTGAATTTTTAAAGGAGATTCCTGTTGACAATACCAGGCGATCCCTTGACTTTCTCCCTCGAGGCAGCGGGTCCCCGTCTCGGACCCCATGTCACCACTTCCTGGAGCTGTGAACTCGGGCAGGCCCCCTGCCTCACTGCGCATGGGGTCCCTGTGACCCAAGGCTCGTGAGGTGGACTAGCACCCCCTTTCACAGGGCGCTGCCAAGCCGCTTTTGGTGCCGGGTGACCTCCTGTGAGCAGAGCAGACTCGTGCTCCGCAGGCCTTTCCAGGGCTGGGAATTCTGGAAACAGATCACCCGGCCTTTCTTGCAAGCCCACTTCTGAGCAGACGCAAAGCTCCGACCTTTCCATTCGTGGCTACTGAGGGCTCTTTGCACACCCAGGCCCCGTGGTGTGATGCCTAACTACTAACTCACTCAACGGTCATCGACTCATATGGACTGTATAGGACAGGGGAGATCTGCCCCTGTGGGTTTCCCAGACTGTCATCCTATAGGGAGTAAGTAGAAAACCCTGTCTTTCTCCTATAGGAAGGATGAAGTGGCTACACATATGCACATCTGTAGGTCAGGCACACAGTCCTATAGAGAATCGTGTTTACTAAACTATGGAGATCGTGGTCAGTATAAAAATCGGGAGCCACGAGTGCCATCAGGGCACAAGGAGGGGGCTGAGTGCCCCCATAACCGAGACTCCGGGAGCCATGCGGCTCTGTCCTGCAGGGTGGCTGGAGTTGGCACCCATTGGCAGGCTGTGGGGTGGTGGTGTGTGTGTCGTTATCTTTATTGCTACCATTATCATTACTCATGCTGTCCTTGGGGCTTGGGTATCAACCACATCTGGTTTTGAAATCCCAGCCCGGCCATTCCCTAGCTGTGTGCCCCTAGGCTTATCGCTACCCCATCTGAGCCTCGATTTCTTCATCTGCACAAGGGGTGGGCGGGGATTATGCCTCCATCCCCGGCTGCTACGAATAATGAATGGGAAAGATGTACCAGAGGTGTCCATCACCTGGATGGTTCCCCTACCCCCGCTCCGTCCTCCCTCCCGAAGGAAGGCGGCCTCTCCCTCTAGCCCACCTCCCCCACTGGCCCTGAGGGCCTCCTCACCTTGGAAGAGAGCAGGTGGTGGAACTGAGGCGTCAGGTAGAACTGGATGCCCTTCCAGGCCCCTGGAAGGGTGACGCCACGGACCAGCAGCATGAGCAGGATGAAGTAAGGGAATGTGGCCGTGAAATACACCACCTGGGGCCATGGGTGGGGAGAGAGGGCAGGTGACCTTCTTCCTCCCCAAATTCCCATCTCACTTACTCATCTCCCCACTCTTCCAGTCCCCCTGCTGGGAATCAGCCCCTCATCTGCGCTGCTGCCCCCTCCTCGCTGGCCCTCTTCTTCCATCTACTCAGCCCGTCCCTGAGCACACCGTCTCTCTACTTCTAAAGACCATCCCAGACCCATCTCCTCCACCTTCACTAGGGGCCGGGCCTAGGCTACCATCCTCACTTGCTTGGGTGGTGATGGGAGCCTCCCGATGGCTCCTCCTCCCCCATGTCCTCTCACCGTGCCGAAACTGACCCCTGGCCTTTCCTCCTCCGGCTTCCAGAGCTCCAGCCACTACCGTCTACAACCGAGGTCAAGCCCCAGCCTCCTCTCTCCTTGGCTCGGCCACACACTCCTCTCCTCTCCAAATGGTGTCTACTCTGTCTTCTGCACCTGCCTTGTAATGGCTTGGACAACTCGTCTCAACAGCGTGCAGCAGGGCAAGTTCTAATTTATAAATGGCGGAGTGCACTCACCACTTCCTGAAATTGTGTTGACCACCTTCCCGCCCCCTCCCTGCATCTCATTATAACAGTACCCCCAGCTTCCTCTAGATGGGGCTGCTCTGGGCCCAACTCCAGGGGTGGGCACTTGACCCAGACCCAGCCAATCAGATTACTCTCCTCTCCTGGTTACGTGACCTACCTTACAGGACCCAACCACCCCCCGACCCCCATCCCACCCCACCCAGGTCTCACTCACTGCCAGGGCGCTGGTTCAGACCCAGCATGACACCACAGGGCACGGTGTAACTTCCCTGGGGGGGGGCGTGTTCTGACACTGATTCTTCATGGGAGTAGAACATCCCAGGGAGCAGCTCGTGGTTTCGAACTAGCAGTCCAAGGCGTAACCCACTCTGCCACCAGGGCTCCCTCTAAAACTAGCGAACAACACCAACAGAGACCCACTGCCCTGAGTCGATGCTGACTCATAGCAACCCTGTGGACAGGGCAGGACTGCAGTGTGAGTTTCGGAGACTCTAACTCAGCGGTTCTCAACCTGTGGGTTGTGACCCCTTTGGAGGGATTGAACGACCCTTTCACAGAGGTCACCGAATTCAGTAGCAAAATGACAGTGATGAAGTAGCAATGAAAATAATTTTATGGTTGGGGGATCACCACAACATGAGGAACTGTATGAAAGGGTCGCAGCATTAGGAAAGTTAGACCCACTGCTCTAACTCTTTGTGGGAAGCAGAAAGCCCGGTCTCCTCCCTTACAAAGACAGGGCAAGAGAACTCGTCATTAAACAGACCGAGCACAGGAGCTTTTCTCCAGCCTGCAGGAAACATGCAGCCCTAGAAGACTTTAACCCAGAGGAAAGCACTCCTGAGAGACCGAGACGCAACCTCCCCTAATGCCCCAGCTCCAGCCGGGCCTGGAACAGCCTCCGGACTTCCCAACTCCATGTGACAATCGGGTTCTAGTCACTGGCATGGAAAAAGCCCTGACTCACCACCCACCCTCCAAGCACTCCATCAAAGTCACTGGGCCCCTTCATGGTGTCCCACCCGACTGGGCAAGGGTCCACACTTCATGACATATGGCTCCCACCCTGGATAAGGGCTAGTCCAGGCACCCAGTCCCCCTCACCCCCCATGCAGCCTCCCCTCCACCCTTTCCCTCCCAGTTCAAGCCCTTTCCTGGCCCCTCTCCAGTGGAAATCTGTCCATGCCTCCAGGGTTAATGCATTCCCCACTTCCTCCGAGGATCCCCCAGCCCCCCAAAACCGGCAGGGCCTCCCAGGTGTCACCTTGCCCGAGGACTTGACCCCCTTGAGGATGCAGAGGAACACGATGACCCAGGAGAGCAGTAGGCACAGGCAGAGGTTCCAGCGGAGCTGCCCGGGGCTCCCGATCCCCTGGCTGCCCTGCATGTGGAGAACGTAGCGGCTGTGGGGGGACACGTGGGAATCAGATCTGTGCGTGGCCTGGCCATTCGCCGCTGACACTCCTCCTCCCTCTCTAGCTCCTCCGACCAACACTGTGCCCACGAGGCTGGCCTCCACACCAGCTGGACTCCCAGACTCCTCAGTGGCTGGCCGTGAGGGGTTGGTCAAGTGCCGATACCAGCAGGAGGGGGAGGGGAGGGGGAGGGAGGGGACGGGTGTTCGCTCACACGCACACATGTGCACACCCCTGTCCACGTCTGGACCTGGCTTCAGGCCTCGATGGTCAATGGGGCCATCTGTGGGGCACCCCTCTCCAGGGCTACGATTCTCCCCGGCTCCTAGGAATGTGGCTTCCTAGCCTTGCCTCTGCGGGGGAAGGAATAGCTCTCTCCCTATGGCCAGTCTCTGGTGCCTCCTTTCTCCTTGTCCATCCCCTAGCCTCCGTACAGGCCCTTCATTAGACGCTCTTTAATTAGACCCTTTGAGAGTGCCATCTACTTCCTGCCAGTGCCCTGACAGAAGTGGTCAGCCATAGGGTTTCCAAGGAGACTCCCGGCCGCCGCCAAGCACCATGCTCCCTTCGTTGTCTTCAAGCTGCAGATCTGAGCCTGTCCTTCCTTCTGGTCAGGCATACACCTCAGTGGGAGGGTGGGGGAGGGCAGGCGTCTTGAGTAAGTCCCGAGTGGACAACTGATTGGACTGGATATTAAAGGCAGGGTGGAGGTCAAGGTACTGGAGTCCCTGAGAGGCGCTTTCCAGCTGAGCCTTCTACAAGCAAGGGGTTGGTGGATCTGGCCCCAGTCGTCTGGACACCCACAGACCCCTGCAGAGGCATCAGGCTCCTCCAGATCATTCTAGGCGCTCCAGGGTCTGGAGCCCCTGCCCCCAACACTAGCTACCATGCCATACACGGACCTCGGCTATCATGGGGGTGACAGGGTGCAGGGATGGCTGGGGATGGCCCTGGGGCACCTGCGTTGACAGGGGGCTGGTGCGGTGTGGTGTGGTTTTACCTGAATCCCCTGTTTCATCCTCACCCTACAGTTGTCTCCCCTCTCCTATGGGATGGGGCTGCCTATGCATCTCTCAGGCCCCTACTGTGGACATTGCCCAGTCACATACTGTGTGCTCAATAAACACTGACAGACAGGATGGACAGGGGAGGGCTTGGCTGAACAACATCCCACGAGGTAGGTACAGAGAGTAGACCTTTTTAAGGAGGAGGGAACGGAAACCATCCCTGTGGTTGCTAGCCCCTACTGAGCATCCACCACCCACCAGGCTACACGATCCTTTCTATGGATTCACCGCCTCTGGACCAGCTCCTAGCATCTATCCTCCAGCACCCCATCCCACCCCCCCCATTCTCAAGACAGACGTCAAATTGTGTTTGAGGTCTGACAGCTGGTTTGGCAGAGCGCCCAGACTGGTACCCAGAGTCCGGCTCCGGGGCCCCTTGGGGCACCCCCGCCAGTGCGGCGGGCCGGCTGACCTCCAGTACTCCTCGCTGGGGCTGACCGTGCTGCTGAGGTTGGCGGGCAGGGCCCCGTTGCCACCCTGGGAGCCGCGGTGCTCCAGGCAGAGGTCGGTGTTCCACCAGTTACCGCAGTGCTCCCAGGGCAGGGTGCTGGTGAGGGAGGCGAAGAGGTAGAAGAGGACGTAGGCGATGATCATGTTGTAGTAGATCGCCACCAGGCCCACGATGAGCAGCATGGCGGCGCCGGCACCTGGGGGCGGGGCAGAGGGGCTGCTGGCCAGGCGATGGGGGCCCTCCCACAAGCCATCTCCTTTCTGGGCCCCGAGGAGAGGAGGGGGCACCCTCCCAGCCTCCCCCAGGTCCAGCCCGCCCCTGGCACTGCTGCAGCCTCACCTTTGAAGAGGGGACTGATTTTCCAGACAGCCAGAGGGCCCAGGCTGGAGAACTGGCCCAGAGAGAGCTCCAAGAAGAATAGAGGGATGCCGCAGATGCCCAGCATGAGGAAGTAGGGCACGAGGAAGGCGCCTGTATAGAGAGCGGTGGTTCTCAGCCGGGTCAGCCCTCTCCCAGGCCCAGCTGCAGCCCCGCTCCTTCCCTGGCCTACAGAAACCCGGGACCCTGGGGGAGTGCCCCTCAGGTGGGCCTTGAATAGAGCCGGGTGTGCAGGCTGGCTCTCTTGCATGCCTGGAGGTCCCTGAGGACAGGGGGGCTCGGAGCCCTTGGGAGATGGGGGATGGATGACTGAGTGGATGCTGGCTGATTGCTCCTGAAGGAAGTGCCGACCCCTCAGGATTGGGCTCCAGGCTCCCTGCCACAGCCTCTCTCTCCACACCACTAGTCGTTTCTGGGGCCCACCATCCCTTCCGCCTCTTCTTCTCAAATTGGCACCCATCCCCTTTAGGGCACTGCCTACCACAGTCTCCGGATGGCTCTGTGTGGAGGTGGGGTGAGGTGGGGTGGGGTGGGCGCGGTGGTTACAACAGTCAGCTCCCTGTGGACACAGAGCCCAAGTCGGGCCAATCAGAGGCCTTCCCTGAGATTTTATATAGATTAATTGGGCTAGGAAGCTCTGGCCTTCCTGCTGAGATCGCTAAGCAGAGATGAAGATGAGGTCATTCCAGAGGTGTCTGTGGCCACACCCCCTTCCCACTGCATGATGGGAGGGAGGGAATACTGCCTAAGGACAAAAGGAGGTTAGCAGATAGAGAAAAGGAGTGGAGACATGGGGAAGGTGGGAGGGGAGGGAAGTACGACCATTAGTGAGTTCCAAGAGTTTCAGAATTTCACTTCCTAACCTTGTAAACTCGCTTTCTTAGCCAATTCTAGTTTTATTTGGCTTTCTGTCTCTTTACCAAAACACCACTGTCTCAAGAGTTTGATAGGAATGAGAGGCCGCGGGGAGAGCATGTTTTGGCTCTATCCCTGTGTGGCCTTGGGCGAGGCCTCTCCACGCCCCAGCGCCCTCGCCACTCTAAAGGTACTGGCCTGGGACCACTGTCATCAGAGAGCAAGGAGCCAGGACTGGGAAAGCACCAGCCTGGGCTGGGCTGGCGTATGGCGAGAGCTCCCCGCCAGCTATGGTTAATGAGACTTCCAGCCGGAGCTGGCTGGGGAAGCCGAGATGAAAGCATCCTGGTCAGACAGACGGAGGAGCTGCGGTGTTTGCGGTGGGAGTGGTGTGCGGGGATGGAAGATGAAAGGCAGGGGAAGTGGCTGGTGGGATAAGGCTGTGGGGGAGGAGGAGGGGAGAGGGGCCAGGTCATTAGGAGCACAGTCATCCTTCAGGGACAGACACACTGTCTCTGGAGCAGAGGCAGCTCCCTCTGGCCACCCCTCAGGGCTCAGAAGTGCCCAGGCTTAAGGAGAAAGCTGGGTTTGGGAGGAGAAAGAGGGAGGGAGGGAGGGAGGCAGGAAGGGAGGGAGGGAGGCTGGGGGAGCTTCGGTGACAAATGGGAAGCAGGCCTGGTGTGCTCCCTCTTCCCAGCCCCAGCTCATCCTAAACCACCTCCAACCAAGAGACCACGCCCATTCCCCAGAGCCTGGCCCACCACCCAGCCTTCCTCAAGCAGCCCCAGGCGGGCGGGCGGGGCCCATACCTCCGCCATTGGTGTAGGCGCGATAGGGGAACCTCCATACGTTGCCCAAGCCCACACAGTAGCCGATGCAGGACAGCAGGAAGTCCAGCTTGCCTGTCCAGTTCCCCCGGTCGGCAGCAAAGTCCACGTCCAGGTCGACATCGCCCTGGTCACTGGGTGTCATCAGCAGGTCTGGGGTGACAGGCTGCCAGTGAGAGAGAGGGAGGTGAGGGGACCTGGCTGGAAACACAGCCCCCAAACAAGAGGTCGAGAGTTAAGCAGGGCTGAGGGTAAAAACAGGGGTCCCTAGGCGGCGCAGACAGTCAGAGCTTGACGACTCACCGAAAGGTTGGCAGTTCAAATCCACCCGGAGGCCTGGTGATCTACTTCTTAAAAATCAGCCATTGAAGGCAAGTTTCCACTCCCTGGCCATATAATCTTCTACTCCCATCTCCCAAGCAAGGAAGTAGAGGGCCTGACCATTCTGTTGCTGCCATAGGACACTGTGCTCAGGTCACCCGGAATCGACAGACACTCCAACCAGAGTGATCAAGGAGACCTTACTGGAAACTCAAGTCAGCGTGGAGGAAGGGCATCTGTGTCTCACAGAGGGTGACGGCATTTCTCTGGGTAGGTAAGTGGGTGGAGCAACCTCCCATCGGGCAGAAAATGGTCAACATGACTTACATAGAATCCCAGAGGGAGAATATTATGTTTCTAATTGGACTCTTGACCTAGTTTCCATCAGCCTTGGTGACCCAGGCCATGTGCTATAGACTACTGGGGCGTTAGACTGCTCTTCGGACGCGCACAACGTGCTTCACAGGCCCTACCAGAGGGACTTGATGTGGAAACCCCATCAGTGCCCAGGGCTTTCCTTCAATGTCACCTGCAGCCCTGGGTTTGAGGGTGAGACTCCATCGTGGGAGAAGAAGCTCAATGGCACCGAACTGGAAGCTGCTGGGCTTGGGCTCATATCTCTTGCCCTGAGGGAAGCCAATGAAAAGTGGCCTGACACTGCCCAAGACTTCATATTTCAATGCCCTCCTTGCTGTATTATGACAGACACTACTCGCCTAGCCATGGTTCTGTCAGTGTGAATGAATGCTATTGAAGTACTGTAAATACTGCCTGTATTTACTTTATTTGTGTAAATACTGTCCAATTACTTACGAATTTAATATGTGTAAATCAACAACTCGTACATTGCAGTTTGTAGCCAGCCTATGCTTGTGTAATTTCCTTTTATCAGAAGTGTTTCAAATTCTATACCAACGGCTAAATTAATGACACTGTCAAGAGAATCACCTTATGCCCCAGGGGTGATTGATGATGTTCTGTGACACAAAATGACAGGATGCCTCTAAAGTGAACCAGGGACATATATAAATCATAAATATGTGAATAGATTTGGGGCTCACACTTCTAACTTCCATCTAAGAGCAATTATTTGTTGTTTTTAAAATCATTTTAAAAAATCATTTTTATTGGGGGCTCGTACAACTCTTATCACAATCCATCCATCCATCCCTTGTGTCAAGAACATTTGTACATTTGTTGCCATCATCATTTTCAAAACAGTTTCTTTCTACTTGAGCGCTTGGTATCAGCTTATCATTTCCCCCTCCCTCCCGAATATAATATTATTGTTATTAATAATAATTTACAAATCATTATTATGTTTTCATGTCTTACACTGACCGATGTATCCCTTCCCCCACTTTTCTGTTGTCCATCCCGCTGGGAGGGGTTATATGTAGATCATTGTGATCGGTTCCCCCTTTCTCTGCCCCCTTCCCCTTCCCCTCCTGGTATCGCTACTCTCATTATTGGTCCTAAAAGCTTTATCTGTCCTGGGTTCCCTGTGTTTCCAGCTCTTATCTGTACCCATGTACATGCTCTGGTCTAGCCACATAGACCAGAGGGTAGAATTGGGGTCATG